AAAAAAAAAACAGAGAGGATTTGAGATAAATACCAATCTTAGAGCTTGATTTCTCAAGCTTTTTGAAGATCTAAACAACTCTTGATTTGGCTCTTCTTAATGTCAAAAACAGCAGTGCAATGTGAATGAAAATGGATGTCGGTAATGATGGACGTTGGCCGGGGCTGTCTCCGGCGGTGGAGGGCTACGCCGATGGTTGACAAAGTGAGGAGGGGAGAATTCTTTCGAGAGGGATGATGGGCTTTTTTTTCTCTTCTTTTCTTTTCTGGTTTTCCTATATTAATATGGGAGAAAGAGGAAAATAGACTAAGACTTGAGATGAATTAAAATTAATAGGCCAATAGTTTACATAAGTTAATAAATAGGCCAAATTACTGTTTTCGTCCATAACTTGTATGGTTATGAACCATAACTTGACAATTTATTCACGGTTTTTGTCCATAACTTGTCTGACTATGAACCATAACTTGACAAGTTTGTCCATAACTTATCTGGTTATGAACCATAACTTGACAAGTTATGGCCTATTAATTTCTATAACTAAAAATTGGCCTATATACTTTCTTAAGGTTTTCATATTGGCCTATTTTCTACTATTTCCCTATTAATATTGTTGGAAAATACGGCATCGAGTCCGCATCAGAATTTTAAAAAGTTTAAATCAATGTCAAAGCCAACCAAGAACATGTTCATGATACTATATAACATAAGTACTAAAGATCTAAATCATACCTTTAGAGATTTAGGAAACAGTACGTCTGACAGATCAAAGCGTTCCAAACAGCAACCGGAAAAGCCTCAACCAACTGGTCTTCTTTGCTATTCTCGTTTTCACGATTGGAGTGCGGGTGGGCACACATTGTTCAATCTTCTCTTGATATTCTTGAACTCCTTCCAACCACAAGAGAGCCAAAGGAAAAATCATTCTTGAGAATTAAATAATTTTTCTTCTCAGGAATCTTTTGTCAATAGCCCCCAAAAAGTCTCTCAAGTGATCTAATAAATAATGTGATTTACTGGGCTATTTATAGTGTTTAGGAAGTCATATACCTGTAACAATTAGGTTTCTCAAAGTTTATCTCGCTTACAGAGTCAGTTTTGCCACGTCAGCACGCGCTACGCGTTACAACCGGTCGACCAGTGACTAAGACGTTATAACTCACCGATCGACATGTCCTCATGAACTGGTCGACCGGTCCGGTCGACCTGTTTGAACACGGGAATATTGTTTTCTTAGTTTTTCAACACGGGAAACTTGTACAGAGCCTCAGTTTTAATTCAAACAATTCAATAGAGAAGTTGCCTTATCAAAATAGTCATATAATAGTCTTCCCATATTAAATAACTTTCAAAACAATAATTCAACCAATTTATCTAGAATTAATTTAACAATTAATCCACCCGATAAATTACTTATGAACTAAACAACCCAAAAAAATAATTCAACCAATTTATCTATAATTAATTTATCAATTAATTTACTCGATAAATCACTCATGAATTAATTAACCAATCTCATATTAACTCTGAACCTCTTTTACGGAAATAACACAAGTTACCAATATGTAGGAAATATACCGTATTGTTACAGAAAATTATGTGAGCTAGCAAAAAAGACTCGATGGACATATATAAATCAAGCTCCTATAATCACAACGCTACTTGTAAACCAACAAGTCCATCTCATGATTATAAAACTCTAGCGCTACATTAAAAGCCTCGAGTTGCACTCTCAATTTATATAGTACATTTACAAAGCTTTGAATAGCTCTCATCCATGACTCAATATATAAGTGTATCATCCCCATAGGATATCCATAATCAACTTAAGGTCAAGTTCTGTTTTACCTTCCCGATTACATTTATCTTATGTTTCATTACCACTCCATCGGAAAACCACTATGCGTACCATTACAAATAGTAAGCCATTAGATAACACATAGTAGTCTAATGGCCGAACGCTCGTATTTTTCAATCCACAGATAATGCATAAGAGGATATCGTTGACTCTTTATAGGAGCTATGGATTCCACTATCTATGAATAACAAATCTACGCATACACGAGTCATACCCCTAATGTACCGGTAAGTGTACTTTACATAATGTCAGGATGTCTCCCTTTGGTACATCAAATGATACAAGTCAAGCATACGGGTTCATTATCCATCTCAGGATTAAGATGACCACATATAATTTGTCAAAAGTGAATTATTTTATACAAACGGAATTATTAATTAAAATAATTCAACTTTGGTTCGATCCAATATAGATTTCACCACTAGAAACTATATTAATGTCTCTACCCATGGAGTCCCAGCTTCAACGACCAAGACAAGCCATCTCCGTTAGGAAGTAGACAACATAACAATCTTAACATGAATAAAGCGTCTAACTTTATTCTCTCGATTGTGGATCATATGATTTAGACTATCATCTTGTAACACCCTGAAGAATTAATTGAGATTAATTAAGGTAACTGAGATTATTAGTGTGCCTAATCTGATTTAATTAATTGAGTTTAAATAATTCTAAGGTATTTAAATTATTCACAGTAATTTATTTAATCCAGAAGTGTGTATGGGCGCATTTCTGGACTGTTATATTTTACACATGTCA